ACTTAAAAATTCATACATTCATGTGGAGATTAATGTTTTAAATATAAAATTTTGAATACAGAAATATTAAATGATTTAAATGACTGAAATTATACGCTAAAAATGAAACTAAATCCGCCAGCAGGTGGCGGCAAGTCACTAATTTTATCACTGAATAATTTATTCAATTTGTTCGTTCGAACGGCTGATTCATTCAGGAATGAAACAAGGCTTTACGAATGGGTCATGTCTGAAATTCAAGTTCTGCTCTGTGTTCTCTGCTAATAACCTGACTGTGAATGATGCGAGCGGCATCACTATGTTGTCACCGAGAAGCTGCAGCCGTGGCGGGGATGATTTTTGGTGTGCCACAGGGCAGAACAACAACAACAACAACAACAACGCGCTACTTGTTTCTTTCCCCCTCATTTTTTCCAATTAACGGAAATCCGTCATAGCGACGGAGAATTTTAATCCCTGATTTTACGTCTGAATATATTGAAGGTTCATAATTTGATATATTTCTGTAGATTAAACCACCCAACAGTATGTAAAATTCATAAAATTAAGACATTTGTCTTATGGTCCTGTGAGGAAAAAAACAAACAAACAAAAAAGAGATCAGATGCCAATTTTCCACAAGTTGATATGATTCTTTAGGGTCTTCATGAAAAGTCTATATAAAAAAAAAAGATCTCTCTTTATTTATTCCTTCTCTTTCTAGCTTGTACTTATTTGAACAATTTCTAGAAACTTGGTATTACAAGCACTTACTGTATCTGTTTGCCTCTTTAAGAAGAATGGCTTTATGTATCCCCCAATTTTAAGTCACTTTGGATAAAAGCGTCTGCAAAATCCAAAGCGACTTACATATTGTTTGCTTTTATTGTCCTCATTTGTAAGTGCAATACAAATTGAAAGCAATACAAAAGAACAACAATATGTAAGTGCAAATGACAAGCCTTACCATACAGGTGTTTCCTCATCTCAGCGCACGACTCACGGACACACAAACAGAGCCAGTTTGGAGAGAAATAAAAAAAAAACACGGAAAACGCTCCAATTGGTTGAACTCCTCATCTTTTTCTGTTGCTTGTTTACTGCGCGTGGACAGGTCACTGTGATTTTGCGTAGTTTAGAGTGACTAATCGTACCAGCGTACTTTAAGGTCAAAATGCGTACCCGCTACGCAAAATGCGTACAGGTTGGCAGGTCTGCACAGGGAGCGTACTGGGTGCTGCGTAAAAATTTTCAGGCGCTGCGTAATATCATTGCGCCTGCTGCACCCACACAATCTTCCTCTGACTGGGATTTATAAATGGATTTTTGTGCAGGTTCTTAAATCTGAAAACTTTTGTGTGTACGTACACTTTTAGGATGAAATCTACGGAGAGTTTTATAAATGAGACTCAACAACATTTTTCCTTTTATGTAAAATAAAGTTACAGGTTTAAATACAAGTTTAAATGAAAGCTTTCAAGGTTTATTGTGTCAACTACTTACCCAAACTTTTGGCAGAAGTTAACTTGGCCTTTTGGCTGGAACTCTTTGAAAGTAGGGTTGCCTATGTTCTTCTCTTTAATTTAGAGGTATACACAAGTATAAAAGCTGCGCATAAAAGATAAAGTTAATTTTCAATATAATTCGTCTCACAAGATAAACACAAACCTCGTTTTTCAGGAACAGACCATTTCATTGGCACAAAAATAACAAATGGAGGCATGCCAACAGGTACTGGAAATGATGGCTATCTGCAATCATGCAACAACAAAAAAATGGAATGTGCACATAAAAAAAAAAAACTTTACGGCCTGTGGCATAGGCAAATGCTAGGGGCGTTAAAATGAGTGACTTTTTTTTTTTTTAACTATTTGTTTTTTACAAATACTACTTAAATACTATGAATTTAAAATATTACAAAAAGCGATCGTCCCACAAAAACATAACTATTTTATTGCTCTCCCTACTCACCCTGGTTCGACACATGATCAATCATCCCCCGCGCAGCCACACTTCCACATAACGTTACATCAGTTACCTGATTGTGATAATTTATTAGTGAACATCTATCACAATGTCTAAAAGACCGAAGTCCTCTGGTGCCAAGGGAAGAAAAAAAAAGAAGACGACAAACGGGACAACGACAGGTGTAATATGATGTAATAAATGATGATGATGATCATATAAATAAACTAGATATAAAAAGTTTGTGAACAAACTATGTTGGCCTAGAAAGCCTAGTCTAAAAGTTTAAAATAGGGTAATAAAAATGTCTAGAGTTCCAGAGATTCGAGATTTTGAAACATAATGGTGTCATTTTTCGTGTCACATGAGGCAAATGCTAGGGGCGTTAAAATGAGAGACTTTTTTTTTTTTTAACTATTTGTTTTTTACAAATACTACTTAAATACTATGAATTTAAAATATTACAAAAAGCGATCGTCCCACAAAAACATAACTATTTTATTGCTCTCCCTACTCACCCTGGTTCGACACATGATCAATCATCCCCCGCGCAGCCGCACTTCCACATAACGTTACATCAGTTACCTGATTGTGATAATTTATTAGTGAACATCTATCACAATGTCTAAAAGACCGAAGTCCTCTGGTGCCAAGGGAAGAAAAAAAAAGAAGACAAACGGGACAAAGACAGATGTAATATGATATAATAAATGATGATGATGATGATCATATAAATAAACTAGATATAAAAAGTTTGTGGTGTATTATTGACATGTCAAAGTCTATAAGACGACTGCGTTTTTTCAGATGTATTTCCAAGAAAAAAACATCGTCTTATATTCGGGTCAATACGGTACTATTTTTATGCTATAGTTGTGTAGTATTTGGGATTTCTGGTATTTTTCATTTGAATTGACTAATTTAGTAATGTTTGTATATAACTGTGGGCTTATTAAAATATAAACATTTTACATAAAAAAAATTCACTTTAAAGATGTACATTTCTTAGTTTAATTTGTGGTGATAACATTAGAAAGGGCTATAGTTTAGTAGAACATTGCTGCCATCTACTGGAAATCGAACACTTTTCTAATTTATTTTGAAGATTAAATAGGCTAATAACAATGCCTGGAGTTTCAGAGATCCGAAATTTTGTAACATAATCGTACCATTTTTCGTGTCACATGATAACAGGTTTTAATAATATTTTTACGCTATAGTTGTGTAGTATGGGGATTTATTGTATTTTGAATTGGTTAATTTAGTAATGTTTGTATATAACTGGGCTTATTAAAATATAATTTTTTTTTTGTAAAATTCACTTTAAAGATGTACGTTTCTGAGTTTAATTTGCTGTGATAACGTTTAAAAGGGATACAGTTTAGTTTGTAGTAGAACATTGCTGCCATCTACTGGAAATCGAACACTTTTCAAATTTATTTTGAAGATTAAACAGTAGCCTACTGTATGCTATAGAGAAGTGTTCAAATTAATACAGTTTTGTGCAGGAATACCAGATGTAATTACTCTTTCTGTTTGTGTATAATGTATAATGTGACTTAGGCAGTACCTATATTTTTACAGTTTCACTGGAAACAATTAAAAATAAAGTAAATTTTCAATAACATAACAAAAATAATAAATACTGTTACAAATGTATTGTTCATTGTTAGTTCAAGTTAGTTAATACATTCACTAATATTACCAAATGATACCTTATTGTAAATGTTACCGTTTCACTAACATCAACTTTTTTTAATAAGAAAATGTAACACCCAATAGTCACATATACTCCTCCATTTCTCTCTTCAGATACACTTTTGAAATATCTGAACCCCATCCCTGCAAATCCAGGGCCACCTGTTGCTGTTGCAGACATCTCCATCTCAGCACAGCCCAGCGATTCAGCATCAAGCCAACTGTTGGCGCAAGCTACATTAAAGTGATTATTACGTTTTGAATATGGATATTTTTCTTACAAAAACGCATCGATTCGTTACAGGAGGCCTTTGTTCACCCCTCTGAGCCGTGTGAGACACTTTTTTTTAATGGATGGGCGCTTTTTATTTAACTTCTTTTGGACTGATGCATGCAACACCCGCTGAGTGGCATTAAACAGCTTGAAAGATCAAAGACTATTTTTAATATAACTCCGACTGGATTCGTCTGAAAGAAGACTTGTCATATACACCTAGGATGACTTGAGGGTGAGTAATTTATGGGCTAATTTTCATTTTTGGGTGAACTAACCCTTTAAGCGGCTGAATGCCAGTGGGCGGGGCTTATGTTGATGTCTTTGCTCTGGAGGCGGTGTTTATGCAAACGACTGCCTAGCTGACGTCACCTTAGATCTAAAATGAGACGTGTTCTGAAGGTTATTACATAAAATGTCCTCATTATCAATAAAAAGGCATTTAAGTTATGAAACTTGCAGAATGTATTAAGCATAAAAAGACCTCTTCTGTGTCAAAAGATCAAAGTAAATTTAGTTTCTCATGTAATGACCCCTTTAATAAAAAACAAAAAGATTTTAATAGTAGAAAAAAAAAAACATTCCAACCATTCTGTCTTCATAAAGTAGTCAAAAACATTGCCACTACAAAGTATTTTAATATATGCAATCAATACAGCGATTAACCAATGAAGACGCCGCACAGGACTCTTTGAAAAACAAATTTAACAATGAGAACACACTGTGTTCCCCAATCTGAATCAAATGTTTCGACTAAGGAATGTTCAGATTTGGCCCGCATTCAGCTGCGGTGTGAATGCAGCCTTAATTTTACAGATACGCATTTTCTGGTGCCATTTTAAATTGCTGGGCCATTTGAAACTCTTTCCACACACAGAACAAAAATAGGGTCTCACATCCGCATGACTTTTCAGGTGTATCTGTAAATGCGATGGCAAAAGAAAAGTTTTAATGCACTGACCACAGTCAAATGTCCTTTCTCCAGAGTGAATGTGCAGGTGATCTTTAAAACGTCTCCTTTTTCTAAACCTCTTAGCACATTCAGAACTCTTCAGTTTCTTTCCAGAATGAGCTTGCAAATTACATTTCAGGTCTCGATATGTGAAAGGCTTCTCTCCGGTGTGAATTCTCATGTGGATTTTAAGAGTTTGTTTATGCATAAAACTCCTTCCACATTGAAGGCACGTGTAAGACTTTTCTCCAGTGTGAATTTTCATGTGGGAATTAAGGTTTGTTTTTCTGTTAATACTTTTTCCACACAGATGGCAGGTGAAAGAGCTTCCTTCAGCGTGATTTGTCATGTGGATTTTAAGGTGTCCTTTTTGAGTGAAGCTCTTTCCACACAGTTCGCAGGCGTAAGGTTTCTCTCCAGTGTGAATTCTAATGTGGACTTTAAAAGTCTGTTTATGTGTAAAACTCTTTCCACATTGAGGGCACGTGTAAGGCTTCTCTCCGGTATGAATTCTCATGTGGTAATTAAGGTTTCCTTTTCGAATAAAACGTTTTCCACACTGTTTGCAGGTAAAACGGTTTTCTCCAGTGTGAGTTTTCATATGCCTGTTAAGGTTTCCTCTTTGGTTGAAGCTTATTCCACATTCAGGACACAAGTAAGGCTTTACTCCAGTGTGAATTTTCACGTGTGCATTAAGGTTTCTTTTTTTGTTAAAACTTTTTCCACACTGTTGGCAGGTAAAAGGGCTCCCTTCAGTGTGAACCATCATGTGGACTTCAAGGTCTTCTTTTCTGTTAAAACCTTTTCCACACGGTTGGCAGGTGAAAGAGTTTCCTTCAGTGTGATTTGTCATGTGGACTTTAAGGTGTACTTTTTGAGTGAATTTTTTCCCACACAGTTTGCAGGTGTAAGGCTTCTCTCCGGTGTGAAGTATCATGTGCCTATTAAAGCTTCCTTGCTGAGTGAAACTGCTTCCACACTGTTCGCATGTGTATGGCTTCTCTCTGGTGTGAACACTCGTGTGGCTTTTAAGGGTTGCTTTTTGAGTGAAACTCTTTCCACACTGTTGACATGTATACGGTTTCTCTCCAGTGTGAACTCTCATGTGGACTTTAAAGTTTCCATGTTGATTGAAATTCTTACCACACTGTTGGCAGGTGAAATTAATTCTAGTCCCTATCTTTTGAGCTCTTTTTCTTGAAGTCTTTTCAATCTGTGAGCAACTAAATGATTGTTGTCCAGTTATGAAATCATGATGTTTCTTATACCGATCTTTATCTTGCATTTCGTCTAGTACTTCACTCTCCTCTTTCATCACCATCAGGCCTAGGGCGAAAAGAGACAAAACACAAGTTGAAAGTTCCCCATTTAAAAGCAACAGTGGCACAGAAAGCAACAATGGCCCAAATCTAATATTCATCCTGGATAGTCACAGTCCTTCAGAGTTTAGCTCCAACACACCTGAATCAAGGTCTTAAAGATTACTTCAAAACTAAAGTTAGGTTTGATGGAGCCGTTTAGAGCTCAATGCTGCAGGGCTGTGGCCCTCCAGAAACTGAGTTTGACATCCCTGGTCTAAAATATTAGAAAAAAAAATGGTCCTTTTAAATAATGTTAAATTTTGTTGTATTTGTGAACAATATCAGTCAGGATTTAAACTCCACTGTAACATGGATAACTTATTAAAGCGATCTCTCGATTTTAGAGCTATCAGATCTTAAACAACACCGACCACAATATTCTCTCAAAGTATGGAGTACCACAGGGCTCAATATTAGGTCCTTTACTTGTCTCCTATATGATTCTGAGATTCCCAGAGAAACATTAGATTTCACTGTTATGCCAATGATACTCGGTTCTATAGTTCCTCACCTGACAAAACTTCACAAATATACATTCGCAGTGTGTGTTAATGATATAAATGGGATAGCTAGTAATTTTCTTGTTAAACTCTGCTAAAACAGAAGCATGAATTGAACCAAAAATATCTTAACATGCTAATTATGCAGATCTTTTACAGTGAAGAAATTGGGTGTTGTGTTTTGTTCGTCCTTTGATAATCACAATTCCAACATTGGTACAAAAGCCTTATCCCACCTTTAAAATGCTGCAGAGTCAATAAATAAGCTGTAGTTGGTTCAAAATCTAGTGGCTTAAGTGCTTACTAAATAGTATCCATTTCTAAAATATATACTATGTACAAGAAGAAATATGATTATATCTAAATGTAGGATTACAATTCTAATATGTGGCTGCCTTATTTCTTTGCTTCCAAACATTAAACCACACAAAAATAATTTCTAGTGAAAAACCACAGGGAGACCTTAAAGCTTTTCTTTTATTGACAACATATACATAACACTCATTATAAATTTGGGTAGATCAGGGATGCAAAACTCAGGGCCTCTGCCCTGCAAAGTTTAGTCCCAACCCTACTCCAACACACATACCATGTTTTCAAATAAGCCTGAAGGACTTGATTTGTTAGGGTTGAAGCTAAACTCTGCAGGGCTGTGGCCCTAACTGAAGGAAATTACAAAACAATGTAAAAACTAAAAGCTTTTTATGCATTTTGGCAGTTCCTTTACATACCAACTGCATTTTGGGGGCCTGGGTAACACTTTGTTTTAGGGTCTCTCAACTAGTTGCTTATTAGCATGCATATTAATAGAATATTAGCCATTTATTAGAACTAATTAAGCACATATTATTGCCTTATTCTACATCCTTAATCCTACTCGATACCTAAACTTAACAACTACCTTACTAACTATTAACAAGCAGCAAATTAGGAATTTATTGAGTGAAAAGTTGTAGTTAAGTGAATAAGTGTTCCCTATTCTAAAGTGTTATCGGGGCCTGAAAAAGCAAACCTTTGAAAATGGGTTTTGGGTCTTTGAAAATGGGTCTCTGTGTAAACTACAAAAATGTGAATTTGTGAAAATGCTGATGTCACATTTGTAGTATTTCTTTACAAAATGACATTGCCAACTACTGGCCTGGCATAAGTAATACAGCAGTTTCCTGGATCCATGTGAATGGGGATCATTTTGACAGCGTTTTTGACTGCATTTTTGAAAAGTTTCACATGCAAAGGAAAATCTTTTCCATTTTTAGCATATCGTTATTGTGTAAACGTACCCCGAGTTTTGCAGCCGCGGGGTAGAAATGTTTTGTTTTCAAATGCATGTTATAAACATCTCAAACTCACAGCACATTCAGATTTGGAGCTTGTGTGCTGCAGTATTTACTGCCAACAAGGCACTCTGAGACACTGAAAACACTGGACCATTTACATGTGGAACAACTTGTGTGTAAATGAACACAGTAACACGCCACTCTGAATCATGCAGTGCATCATACTTTTTATTTATATAATTACAGCCTTTGTGACTTGATTGCACTCCACCATACCTCACTTAGTGTAATGGGTAGACTTGGGTTGGAATGGTTAAAGAAAAAATAAATAAATAAACTAGCCACATTTTGCAGTCCGTTTATTAATCATTAATTTTCCCAAACTATTATTCACCCCGCCCCGGTTTCACAACAGAAAAACTAATAAAACGTAAAAAAAAACAAAACAGAAAAACTACAGACAGTATTCTATAACAAATACAATTGGAATGCTTCTTATATTGCTAGTTTTAAGGTTCCCATTTTAATGCTGATAATACTCGGTTATATATTTCCATCGAGACCAGATTAATTTCTAAATTATGTAAATTAACAGAATGTGTTACAGATATAAAAAATCGGATAACCAATTTTCTTACATTAAATTAAGATAAGAAAAAAAAATACATTACTTATTGGGCCAAAACCCTATACATAGAAGCTTTTAGAAAACAATTTGCATCTAGAAGGATGTACTGTAATGTCTTCGTCACATATTATAAAAACAGCCTTCTTCCACCTTAAAGGGATAGTTCACCCAAAAATGAAAATTTGATGTTTTTAGGACATCAATGTGTCGTCACGAGCCAAAGGGTTTAATTTGGATTTGTCTGTGCATGTTTTTTTTTTACTCTCATAGATTTTGTTACCATTGCCATGCATTATGCGACTGATAGACTGCAACGGTTTGAGTTAAAAATCATCAAATGTGTTCTACTGAAGAAACAAAGTCACCTACATATTGGATGCCCTGGGGGTAAGCAGATAAACATCAAATTTTCATGAACTATCCCTTTAAGATAACGTTCTGCATCTTGGAAATGTTTCTATTTTTTGAAGCAGAAAAGCTAGTTCTTGTGTTCATGACCTGTAGACTGGACTATTGTAATGCACTGCTAGGTGGTTGTCCTGCATCTTCAATACACAAGCTACGATAAGTCCAAAATGCAGCTTCTAGAGTTCTTTTCAGGTTGAGAATATATGATCATTTCACCTTAATTTTATCATCTTTACACTGGCAACCTAAGTTACATATCGATTACAAAATGTTAGAACTCACTAGGGTTGCCAACCGTTCCATATAATACAAAATTGTCCCGTATGTTCATAAAAAAGCATTCCATATGAAAGCCAAACGGAAAGTAGTTTGTCTCGGCACAGGCATATGCTGTATGACCACCTAGACCACACCGATAGCAAAATCTAAATTGAGAAATTAATCATTCTTTTTGGACAAACTGTTTTCTGATTTGAGAACGTGGTCTTTAAGACCAAGCAGAATCCTTTTTCACCATTCACTTTTAATTTCAGTCTTGACAATGGTGTCATTGTTGTCCTGCACGTTTACCACACAGGCCTCTTCCTCTTTAAGAAAGTGGACCTGCCACTCATTATCTGGCAAGTTACCAGTCTTGATGGAACAGCATGTATTACACTGGTCTTTCTTTGGATGGTTAAGACTCAGGTTCTGCTGCTTAAATTCTTCTGAGAACACCTGTCTTGAGAAGGGCCTCAGCATCTTTTCCTCAGCAGCACGATGGTAGACTTTATACAGGCCAGTCATGGACTGAAAGCCAGGCTCCAGGAACTGTTTTGATGCTGATGACCTACAGTAGCAGGAAGTCATCTTAGGGAGTTCCTGCAGAAAACTCTTCATGAACTCACGATCCTCACGTCTGAGGTGTGATGTTGCATTCTGCTGTGTATTTCCTGCCTCTTGCACCCAGTTAAGAGCAGACCATTGCCCTAATCCAAGCGTTGACAAAAAGAAACTTTTACACACCCTTCTTCTCTGTCCATCAACTTTTAAAAAGTAAATAAGAGTAGATAACCTTCTTGAATTGTTACACCCCCTTCTTCTCTTTACAGGGATGACATCCACCAAACCACGCACATACATTTTTTTCTCCTCCCAGTTCATGTTCTCCCAAAAACATTTAAAAATGTTCTCTCTGTCTGCTTCTCCAATTGTACTGCAGTGATGCTTGGAGGACTTTACGCATCCAGCAGACTGACAGCTTGGTCCCATCGCCCGGGGCTCCATGTCAACTTCTTCGTTCCCTCTAATCCCAACATACGGTTGTCCCATCATTCTTCGCCTTTTATTAACACGCTTCTTCCAACTGCGGTCATTCTTTCTCTTTCTTCCTCCAACTGTATCATCCTCAGTGTCATCACCGGAATCTTAAAAATACAACAAAAAAAACAGTACATGTAAACATGTGTACTACTGCTGTGAAATGTGCCCATTTATCCATTCATCACTAATTACCACTCATTATACATAAAAATTCCTGTACATCTTTTGAGTCATTAACACATTGTTCACTGTACCTGCTTCCATTTCAAATTCCTCTCACTACACTCTCCAGTGTCGTTTCCTCATTCTCTTTCTTTTTTCCCTCTCTGTTGCTCTCTCCATCTGTGCTGTCACTATCTATTAGGGGTTGAACGACTTCTGATTTTTTAAAGTCGACTTTTATGTGATGAAAGTCGAGTTGAACTCCACACATGATTCTGTGTGCTCGCGATCTGCGCGTGATGTACGAGCTACTGTCTGTAGCCTATGTGTGTGCGTTAAGGCCCGTTCACACCAAGGACGATAACTATAAAGATAACGATAAAGATATAGTTCTAAAAATCGTTCTCAATATTAAAGAATAGCAGAGTCCACACCGCAACTATAACGATAAAGACAAAGAGAAACGATATCGTTGGTATCATTTTCAAAACTATTTTTCTCCAGCTGATCGATAAAAATTTGACAGCCAATCAGAATCCATCCTGCTGTAACGAGCTCAAGAATTTAAAACCGGCAGACGAGCGTGCGCTTAGAATAAACAGACGATATCATTCACTGGTGTGGACGCAAATATAGTTATCTTTATAGTTATCGTTCTTGGTGTGAACGGGGCTTTACAGTGCAGCAG